ATGTGCTGAGTTAATTAAGTTCAAGCCAAATGTAAAAAAAAAAAATCTAAAAAAAATTTTTTTTTAATTTGAATTTTTTTTTTTTTTTTTGATTTTTTTGTTTTATTTTGTTTTATTTTATTGTTTAAAAAATTTTTATAGGATGCGATTAAGAGCTCCTAAGGATGCGATTTAGGAATGAATCGGACTCCTTTGAACCAATCAGATTGCAGGATTTGGTAGTGATTACAAAAAGGATATGATTAAATGGGTAATAGAACCTACATAAAACATAAACGAGAATTAACAATTAATGGAATAGTAAATGATAAAATTTATGTCGTTGATGTGTCCATTCAATTAAAATCAGTTGTAATACTTCTTAAATAACATTGCCTTAAGATTTTTCTTAAAAGACTCTAAAGTTTTGATAATTTTAGTACAATTCGGAAGAGCGTTTCATAGTCTTGGGGCTGCACTGACAAAATGATCTCTCGCCATATGATTTAGTTCTAGCAATAGCAATCTCTAGCAAATTCTTTGCTGACGATCGTAGATGCCTTTTGGAAGTGGACGATGTCAGAAAGACTATAAGTATTGTGAAGCCAGGCCATTCATTGCCTTAAAGGTCAAGAGTATTATCTTGTATTCAATTCTGGCATGGATTGGCAGCCAGTGCAGCTCGCGTAGAATAGGTGTAACGTGTGCATACTTGTTGTTACGAATAACTAATCTAGCAGCACAGTTCTGTACATGTTGGAGTTTCTCAAGCTGCTAATAAGGTAATCCATAAAGAAGACTGTTACATTGGTCTAGACGAAAAGACACAGGGGCATGCACCAGTTTCTCAGTAGTTTGATGATCAAGGTAGCGCCGGATTTTGCTGATAGTATTTAACGCAAGGTAAGCAGATGATCATACAGTGTTAATTTGCTTCTGGAAGGAGAAGACGTCATCGAACACCGCACCAAGGTTACGAGCACAATGTTTGGGCTCCAATGAGACATTGTTCACTAAGATGTTAGGCATAGGGGTAACCACGCTGCGAGAGAACAACGAATGGACGCGTATTTTTTCGTTCTTACTTCCATTAAGTACGTATACCAGTTTGTTTGATATAGACCAGGATTTCATATCATCTAGACAAGTATTAATATGCTGGACCACAATACTAGCTGAGGATCTGTCCAAGACAGCATACAGTTTGAGTGTCGTCAGCATATAACATTGCGTCGAGGTCGTGGGCCCCAAAGATCTCCTCTAGCGGGGATACATACACGCAGAACACCAATGGACCGAGCACGGAGCCGTGTGGTACACCATAGCTTAACACGTGATAGTTTGATGAATAATCCCCGGCAGATACAAAGTAGCGACGGTGATGGAAAAAAGAAGTAAGGACCAAGCACCAGGAAAATAAGCCTAGTTAAACGATACGTTAATCATTTTAGTGATTACTGGTACGTCAATAAACGAAATAATCAATGACGTTGTCATAGATCTAACTGGCAAGATTTTTTTCGCAGCCATGTTTATTAGCTTGTTGATATCATTTGTTGTTAATAACTTGTAATAACGCGCCAATCGGATTCCATTGTACTAGGAGATCCAAAGATAGGCCGTCTATTCTCAGATCATGCAGCCGTTTTCTGCTCGTTGAATTCCGTGAAGCCCCCGCCAAGTGTCGTGTCTCGCACATTCCGAAGGTTAAAGTATGTTGATGTGGCCGCTATTAGTGATGACATCGCGGTTTCTCCCCTACTAAACAGCACCGGCCTGGATACTTTGGATAAACTAGTGGACTGTTACAATACGACAGTATCGTCTCTGGTTGATGTTCATGCCCCCTTACAATCCAAGAAAACTGTCAACAGACCTCGGGTTCCATGGATGAACGGTGACATTAAAACAGCAATATAGGATTGACGGAGAGCAGAGCGTAGGTGGCGAGGCAATAAGACCGTTGAACACCTAGCAGAATTTAAACAGAGGAAAAACTACGCTACTATGCTAATGAATAGAGCTCAACAAACGTACTACTGTGACTTTATCAATGATAACAGCTCCGACCATCGCAAGCTGTTTCGTGCAGCCAAAATCCTGTTATCAGACCCACTGACATTATGTCTGCCTGACTTGTGTGAAGCAAAAACAATGGCTAATGATATTGGTACTTATTTCGTACGTAAAATAAGTGACATCCACACTAAGTTGGGTAATGATGACTCGCCCCATGTCGTAAGGAGAGAGGATGATTTTCGCAGTGGTGTGGTGTTTTCAGAGTTCCAGTCCCTTTATTCAGAAAATGTACGTGATCTAATCACCTGCTCTAGCAAGAAAACTTCTCGTCTTGATCCGATGCCTACGTCATTGGTGGTCAAGTGCTTGGACGTGCTGCTTCCTGTTATAACATCTATGACCAATCAATCTCTTCAATCCGATCAGTTTGCTGATAAATGGAAACTTGGAATGGTCACACCACTCCTCAATAAACATGGTGTGGATCTATTATATAAGAACCTCCGCCCAGTTACCACTTTAGCTTATATTTCTAAGATGACGGAGACAGCTGTCGCAGTGCAAATCCAATCTCACATGACTCGCCATGCTTTGTTCCCTGTCTTCCAGTCTGCTTACAGGCAGCATCACAGCACAGAGTCAGCATTGCTCAAGGTTCGAAACGACATCTTGTTGAACATGAATAAACAGCATGTAACTCTTCTGTTACTCCTTGACCTCAGTGCTGCGTTTGACACCGTAAATCATACAATTTTTGTTACAGCGCCTAAAGTCTCAGCTTGGAGTTGATGGGACAGTGTTATCTTGGTTTAAGTCTTACCTATTTGGAAGATCACAACAAATAACTATCAATGGCAAGGTATCTTTAACCTTGACTGTGGGGTAACCAAAGGATCCGGTCTCGGGCCTTTGCTGTTTAATATCTACATGTCAAGTCTGTTCCAAATAATTGATCGCCATGCTGCGAGTGTTCACTGCTACGCGGATGGCTCGCAACTCTATCTTTCATTCAGTCCCAAAGACTCAGCGAGTCAAGAGGCTGCCCTCACATCAATGGAACTGTGTATCACTGATGTTAAGAACTGGGCTCGTTCTAACTTCCTTCTCCTAAATGGGGATAAAACCGAGTTCATCATCATCGGAACGAGACAGCAGCTGGCAAAGGTCACCATTGACCCTATATCAGTTGGAGACGAAGCACTAATAAGCAAATCAAAACCTTGGAGCTTGGTTCAATGAACATTTCGATATTGCCACTCGTGTCACTAAAACATGTAGTGCCGATTTCTTCAAGTTACACAGTATAAGGCGGATACGGAAATAACTCTCACAGGAATCTGCCGAGACTATTATTCACTCGTTCGTAACAAGTAAAATTGACTATTGCAATAGCCTTCTCTATGGGATACCCAACTGTCGAATAGATAAATTACAAAGAGTTCTAAATGCCAGTGCGCGACTCTTTTTTAGAGGGTAAATTTTGTCATATTACTCCATTACTCATGAAGCTTCACTGGTTGCCAGTTAACTTACGTATTAATTTTAAAATATTACTTTTCGCGTATAAAGCCATTAGATATAATGGACTAGCCCCACCATACATTAGTGCCCTCGTAGGCAGACATCAGGCAAACAGTTCGCGATATAGCCTTAGATCATATGATAAACACTTTTTAACCATACCTAATTTTAAATCATATGTTACCCTTGGGGACTGGTCCTTTACTGTTGCCGCACCTAGGCTTTGGAATGCATTACAATTAGGTATTAGATCAGCACCGTCTCTTAATATTTTTAAATCGATACTTAAGACACATTTTTTAAAATTAGCTTATTATTAATTGTTGCCAATAGCCATGAATTGTTAGTTAATTACTTTTTAGATAGTTTGTTTTGTAATCTAGTTTCTCAGATTCCATATTTTTATACAATTTACAGCTCGTTTACATACTATATAT